CAGGATAAAGCTTGGAGACCGTTAGGTAGCTAAAGCTGAGAACCGACACTCTCCCACGGCACCTAGGAGAGACCCAGACAATACAACTCCCTCCTGCACATCTGTATAGATAAGCATTTCGGCGCAAAGCATTGTTAACAGTGCTTATGTTACTGCATCTATAGCTCTGCAATAAAAGTATTACCGTTCCTGAATGCGTGTACTTTGTTGTTGGATGTGGCTTCTGACAGTTACTTACAGGAAGAAAGAGGGTGAAGGCCACTTAAGGAGACGTTCATGTGTAACGTGCCCTCAAGTCGCAGCCGACTAATGGCGGCCCCGTAGGGTTTTCAAGGCAAGAGATGAACAGAGGAGGTCTGCCCTTGCCTGCCCCTGCGTAGCGGCCCTGGACTTACTGGGCAGTCTCCCATCCAAGTGCCAACCAGAGCCGACCCTGCTTAGCTTCCAAGATCTGACAAGAATGGACTCGTCTGGGCTATCCAGGTCAGAGCACTCGCTCTGTTTCCTCCTTCTGAAGACCACATTCTTATGGAGAGTATGCAACGTTTTTGGTGATATGGGTAACAGCGCCTCACCTGATAACCCCCCTGAAAATGCTTCCGACCGTACGCTGGGGCGTTGCCCCTTCTGCAGCTTCTTGAAGTCTCTCCTCCGGGCGAAGGCGACAATCCAAGCAATGAGCAAACTCACTGGGGAGACAAGAATGCCACAAGCCTCCATAAGAACACAAGGGAAGCCGTGTTGGATCGGGCCAGTGGCCCATCCCGTCCAACACTCTGTGTCACGCAGTGGCCAAAGCCCAGGGGCCATCAGGAGGTCCACCAGTGGGGCCAGAACTCCAGAAGCCCTCCCACTGTTGCCCCCCCAGTACCAGGAATACAGAGCATCACTGCCCGAGACATGAGAACATAAGGGAAGCCATGTTGGATCAGGCCAATGGCCCACCCAGTCCAACACTCTGTGTCACACAGTGGCCAAAACCCAGGTGCCATCAGGAGGTCCACTAGCAGGGCCAGAACTCCAGAAGCCCTCCCACTGTTGCCCCCCCCCACAAGCACCAAGCTTCATGGCAGGCTAAGTCGCAATAGCTAGAGCTGGGGCCTTCTTAAGGGGGGCATTTTTGGCGCTTTGTATTTAACAAGGATGAGTTTACCCAACCACTTTGTTTCCCCTGCCCGGGTAGCTCCACGGTTGTAGATCTGGGGTTGCCCACCTTCAGTTTGGGCCTGGAGGTCCCCCACTTTTACATCTGATCTCCAGATGCCAGAGATCCATTCGCCTGGAGAAAATGGCTGCTTTGGAGGACAGACTCAGTGGCATCGTACCCTGCTGAGGCCCCGCCCCGCCCCTCCCCAAACCCTGCTCTCTCCAGTCTCCACCCCCAGAATCTACAGGTATTACCCAACCCAGAGCTGGCAACGTTATGTGGATCTGTTGGGGTCTCTGGCCAGGAGTTCCAGGTTTGCAGAAATCCCAAGGAGACAATATGCAAGATCCAAGTTTGCTTAGAAGGAGACTGTAATAAGGAATGATCGAGCTTACAGAAGTAGCAGGCTAAGCTCCCATCTGCTGGATCTCGAGCTCACACACACACACAGCAAAACTTAGCTAGATCTCGCGATGAGACACATAGCTAAAACTAAGCATCTTATACTCTGAGTGCTGGCTACCAGTCAAGAAATCCCAAGCACTGAGATGAGCCAGGCCATCTCGCACCTGATGTCCAGTGGTGAGAGGAAACTCATCAGGCTTTGAAGCAGGGGTCATTTCCTGTGGGAGCGCACAGGAGTGGAGCTCCGGCAGTAAAGCGCCCAGGGGGCAGGCACATGCAACAAGCCCCACCCCCTGCTCCCAGCAGCCCTCAGTCAGAGCAAGAAGCAGCCAGGTAAGTTGCAGAGCTTTCCCTGGCCCCCTGGCCCAAAACAGTCCAGTGGCACCTTTAAGAACAAGTTTTATTCAGGTACAAGCTCTCCCTCCTCCGTGAGGGACAGATCTGCATGTTCCCCCCCCCACACACCCAATAGCTAGCAATCTAAAACAGTCCAGTGGAGCCTGAGCGGTGGGTGTTGCCTTCTGAAACACTTCCGGTGATGTCAGGGGGTGTGGCATATGCAAATAAGTTATGCAAATAAGTTATGCTAATGCGCTCCTGCACCTCTTTTTCTATGAAATGACCCCTGCTTTGAAGACAAGGGCTGCTAACATGCATGAGAGAGAGAAATATTCTCTTGGGAGTGGTGTGATGGCCCTATCCTCACATCAGGCGACTAAAAGTCCAAGCATCAGCCTCTAACAAAGGTGGACTTACAAAGGCTGTACAGAACCTCACACAGAGAGCACAGGGCCCATTTGGGAAAGGCCGTGGCTCAGCGCAGAGCATTTGTTTTGCAGGAAATGTTTTTAAAAAACCGGACGGGAACAAACCTAAAGGTAAACAGCAGAGCGCAATGATGAGAATCACAAATCCGGGCACGCTCCCTTTGAAGTAATCCAGCGTGGTTAGGGACACGCAGGGCGGCAGATGTTGCGTGGTTAACTGTTGGGACTGGAGGTACAGATCTCCTGGGAAGGAAGACAGAACGACAGCAGTATAAACCTGATTTTGTCCCATTGTTCTCCTGAGAGATGTCCCTAAAAGACTGGAAGACTGCACGCGAACCAGCAAACATCTGTCCTCTCCCCCATGTCCCCCAAATTGTAACTTGTTGGAAGTGAAAAAAGACTTTGTGCTGTCTCTTAGCTTCAGACTCCAGAGGGGGACGATAGAGAGTCAGGGGGATAGATAGGTCAGGGCCTGCACATCCCTTCCTTTCTGCTTCTCTGACGCTATCTGATGTGTAAACTGACACTCTTAAGCAGGGGTCCCCAACGTGGTGCCTGTCCATCAACACCGTGGCGCCTGCCCGACACCTTTTCTGGTGCCCGCCAAGTGTTTTTATAAAGTGGGATGGGACAGGCGCCCAGCAAGGTTTCTGATTGGCCACTGCAGATTTGATTGGCTGTGCAGATTTTTAAAAGCATTGCTTTGACAGCAGCCGGCACGACAGTATAAAGATCTTCCCTGTGTGGTTGAAGGTAAGCTGTGGCAGCCATTTTGTGGTTGCACCAGGGCCGTAGCCAGCAGTGGGGCTTTAGGGGCTGAGCCCCCTACTGATTAAGGCAGAGCCCCATCGCTGGCTCCCACTGCTGCCTCCCCCCCACAAAAAAAAAGTACCTAGCCTTGCGGGGCTCGCGTTGCATCGCCTCATGCTGCTTTCACGCTGGCCCAAAGTCCTTCCTTCCATTGGTGGAGTGAGGGGAGGGAGCCTGAGGCAAGAATCACTTCAGGCTGGTGGAGAGCTCAGTCAAACGGCAGGGCAGCCGCAGCCTCCTTTTCAGCTCTTCCCTCTTCCAAACGGAGAGGGAGGAGGAGAGTCACGCTGTTACCTTCCCGCCGAAGTGGTACCTATTTATCTACTTGCAATTTCTTGCTTTCGAACTAGGACCCTGAACAGGCTCCTGAGGACAGTACTGCAGCAGAAAGGCAAAGACTGGATCCTGTAGCTGAAAGCTATCTAAGTGGTGAGGAGGATAGAGCCTCCCAGGGAACACCTGCAAGGGATCAGTCTCTGCTGCAGCCCAGTAATTCATCATCAGACTCGCCTCCACCTGTAACCAGGCTCAGGAATGTAAGAAGACAACAGCTGAGAGAGCGAAGGCAGAATGCACGCATGCGTGCCAGAAGATCTCTTAGCCCTGATTACTGACAGGATCCTGTCCTCACTCCTGGCTAGCTAATGAGTTGATTAGCTAGCACTGTATATATGCAAGTCTGTTGCCAGCAGTCATTTGTGCTGGCAACGTCGTTTGTTCAGGACCTGAATCCTTGCATCTCTGCTCCAGACCTTGTGGAATTCTTCTCGGCTTGATCCTTGGCTTTTGATCTTCGGCTTTGTTGACCCTGCGTTCATCTCTGACTCCTCTGGTATTGTTGTGATTTATGGACTTGAAACTTTGGTATGTCTGACCCTGCTTTTGGACTGTGATTTAAACCTGCTTGAACCTTGCTACCTGGTTTGCCCGGCTTGACCTCGGACTGTTCCTGGACTTTTGCTTGCTTGTGTCACGCCCCCTGGTCCTGCCGTGACAGTCACACTGTTACCTTCCCGCCGAAGCGGTACCTATTTATCTACTTGCAATTTCTTGCTTTCGAACTGCTAGGTTGAGCAGGAGCTGGGGCCAGAGACGGGCGCTCACTCCGTCATGCGGCACACTCGGGTCTCGAACTGCCGAACTACCGACCTTCCGGTCTGCAGTTCGCCATCTTAACCACTGAGCCACCGCAGCCCCTTCGCGTGAGCCGGCTCACAGTTTTTTAGCCTCCGGCTCACACATTTTTGTCTTCGCTCAGGAAGGCTGGCTCCGGAGCAAACTAATGTACGCAGTAGCCAAACTGCTTGCTCACAACTTTAATGCCGGTGACTCACAAAGTAGAATTTTTGCTCACAAAACTCCACAGCTTAGAGGGAGCATTAGGGGACCCTTCCTTCCTGCCTGCCTGCCTGCCACCACCTTCTCTCTGTTTCCATCTTGCAGCCACGAGGTCATGATCTGCTTTCCTGCATTCCATCCCTCCTCGTTTAGCTACTTCATGTAGAATGCGCTTTCTACATCATCCTGTCCAGAACTGAGTTCCTTACAATTAGGGGCTCCTACCAGTTTGCTAACCTACCAAAAAAGGCTCCGTGTGACCTTATTTCCCCAAGCAGGTGGCTAACGCGTATTCGGCTGCGCAAATGTGCCTTGAGCACTCTGCTAATCCAGTTCTCCCGTAACTTCCATTCACCAGGTCATCTAATTTCGACTCTGCTCATGGCTGGCTGCTGAAAAGCCACCAAAAGCTGGTGTTTTCGCGCTTGACTTTGCTCGCTCACTCTCTGTTTGCCGAGGACAGATCTGCATTTCAGCAGATCTGGATTTACAGGGATGGATAAGCAGAGGTGCTGCTGTGTTGTAACTCTGGAAATTACTGCAGTCACTCAGAAAATTTTACCGCTTGATACCTACATTGATCAATCTCTCTCACCCCAAGATGGATTGAATGTCATACAAGCAACGCCCCCAAAGCACGCATCTCAGGGCAGGGTGCGGGGAATAACTGGCGCGGAAGCAACGGCAGATTTTTTGCTGTCCGCGTCTTCCATCCAGACTCCACTGCAAGCCTTTCGGGAAAGGAATTCCTCACTCATCTCGTTCAAAAGGCTCAGAGCAGTGAATGTAAAAGCAGAACCACTTCATCCCTGAAGCCTTAAAAGCTCAATAGCATGATTCAAGGTGCCAGAAGGTTCTTGGACCACTTAAAACCTAACTTGGGAAACCAGTCCAAATAAAGCGGTCTAATAGAAACAATCCAAAACACACCAAAGAATAAATACCCACCGCTGTTACAGAGGAACACATCTGCTTGGATTTCGGTTGAATTCACATAGGTGACAGCAACAAGAACATCATGGAATGATGTGTTTTTAATGGTGTCAATCTCTTCGGAAGAGAATAACCTGTGGGAAAGCAGAGGTCCATCAATGGCTATTAGCCACAAGGTACAGATGGAACGCTATGTGTGGGGCAGTGATGCAACATGGCCACTGGCCTGATCCAACATGGCTTCTCTGATGTTCTTATGTCTGGGGCAGTGATGCTCTATATTCTTGGTGCTTGGGGGGCCACAGTGGGAGGGCGTCTGGAGATCTGGCCCTGCTGGTGGACCTCCTGGTGGCGGTGGCACCTGGGCTTTGGCCACTGTGTGACACAGAGTGTTGGACTGGGTGGGCCACTGGCCTGATCCAACAAGGCTTCTCTTATGTTCTTACGAAGAAGACAAGAGAGGGCATTGATGAAGTCCCAACCTGAGGCCTTCTCCCTTCCTCATGAGGTAGTTTACTGATGAACCTCTCAAATTCAGCAACTATATTTGGAGCTGTTGGGACTAGAACCTGCAACCCTCAGATCTGTGGGACATAATGCTAAGTGGTGAGCCACCAAGGTCACAGAACTTTCTGGGCTGCAAAGGGCAAAAGCTTCTGGTTCAAGTTAGAACTGTGCTGGGGCAACAGGAACATTCACTGGATCCATCCATCTATCTATCCATCTATCCATCTATCTATCCATCCATCTATCCATCTATCCATCTATCTATCCATCTATCTATCCATCTATCCATCCATCTATCCATCCATCTATCCATCCATCTATCCATCCATCATCTATCTCCACATTTTTATCCTATCCTATCTCCAAGAAAAGGTCCTTCTTATTGGGAGATCTGGTTAATATCGCAGAGTGTTGCCCAGTCACAGAAGCGTGATCCTGAGTGCGGTAAATACATCTCCCAAGAAGTATATTGCAAAAAAGGTAAACTTACATTTCTTCAAGTAGCTCCAGTTCACATTCAAGTTGCAGTCAAAAAGAGATAAAGAACCCTGATCTAAAGAGTACTCTCCCCATCACAGCTGGCCGGCTAATCCAGCATCACGTGCATAGGAGTATGAGGGCACTGCACCCACAGGAGAGACCTGCAGAGGCCATGTGCAGAGAGTGAGAGGGCAAAGACCACGTAGAGAGAGAGGAGGGCTCAGAGGGCAGCAAAACTCGGTAGTGTTTGCAGCTGAACCAGAACAGGGTGTGCGTGTGCCAGTTTGGTGCCCCTAAGGGCTGGCGCGCTCTAGGTGAGCGCCTAGTTCGGCTAGTGAGTGAGCCGGCCCTGCCTTCTTCACTTCCAACCCCTTGGGAACCCCCATTTTTTAAAAGCAACGCTACTTCTGGACTGCAATTTTAGCTCCTGGTCATAATTCAATGGGAAAGGCTGCCCAGTTGTGCCTACCCACGAGAGGAACACCCAACACAAGATGGATCGACTCGATAATGGGAGCCACGGCCCTCAGTTTTCAAGACCCGAGCAAGGCTGTCAAGGGTAGGATGTTTTGGAAGGCATTAATCCATTGGGTCATTGTAAGTTGGAAGGGACTTGGCGGCACTTAATACACACACCCGCCCACCCTCCAAACAAAGGAAATGGAAGAAGTCTGTGACTGCCAGAAGTGAAGACATAGCTGACGGACCCTTTGTTATCACGTGGACACGCCAAAGCTGGCACTGGGAAATGGGAATTTCCAGGGACAGGGGCCAAGGGCCACATATCCCTGCCCCGTCTTCGTGAACTGGCCTGCTGCTGCACGCTACGTTCCAGAGAGAGTTCTCACAAAGCCGACTGGCCCTTACCCGTTCTTGGTGTTTTCAAACCAGAACCGGTCTCCATCTCTCAGGCGAACAAACTGGTCCTTCATGATAGCGTGGAAAAGGGTTCTGTTAGCTTCCAGCAAAGCCCCAGGCAGCAGTTCCAGACGGTCTGTGTCATTTCCGTAGAGGGCCGCGAGTCCCTCGATTAGCTAAAAAACAAAACCATAAGGTTCCGTCGGACTGCTGGAGCAGGGTTACTGGGAAATGGTTCAGGCAGTACATTCACGACAAACAAAAGGAAGTACTTCTTCACTCGATGAGCAATTCAGCTGTGGAATCTGCTGCCAATGGTAGCCACTGATGTAGATGGCTTTCAGAGCAAATTGGACCTATTCCAGCTTGTTGGAAAAATGGAATCATGGGGTTTTGGGGTGGGGTTTTTTTGTTTGTTTCTCTTGTTTTTGTTATGTTGTATGTATGAAGTATAGGAGCTGCGGTAGCTCAAGTGGTTAAGACGCTGAACTGCAGGCTGTGGAAGGTCAGTAGTTCAGCAGTTCAAGACCCGGGTGCCGCAAGACGGGGTGAGCTCCTGTCTCTAGTTCCAGCTCCTGCCAACCTAGCAGTTCGAAAGCAAGAAATTGCAAGTAGATGAATAGGTACCACTTCGGTGGGAAGGTAACAGTGTTCCGTGCGCCTTGGTGTTTAGTCATGCCGGCCACATGACCACGGAAACGTCTTCGGACAGCGCTGGCTCTTCGGCTTTGAAACGGAGATGAGCACCGCAACCCTAGAGTCGGATTCGACTGGCTTTCGAGCAAGGGAACCTTTACCTTTATGTATGAAGTATTTACTAGATTATTTGTAAATAAATTACTGGAAATAGCATGGCTGAAATACAGAGGGGGAAGTTTAGAAGTTTAAAAGTTAATTCATACACATATAAAATAAAATTGGGATTCATATAAAATGTAAGCTATGAATTTTAAGGAGAAGAAATCAAGTTATTGGAAGGATGAAAGACTAATTCTGATGATTTATGTTTAATTGTAATTATGAATTCAGAGCTTCTGTTATAATGCGATATTGAATAATTGGTGTTCGGGCATTGAAAACTGTGAAAATTAGATATTGTGTTACTGAGATGGAAAGGTAGATATAGAATTATAGAGAAGGGGAGGGAAATTAATTTTGATAAAGAGTCAACTTCCCGTTTTGAATTTATACAAGTGAAAATTTCAGTGATATGTATTTCATAAACTGCTGGAATAAATAATGATTAAAAGGGAATATGGCAGAAAGGGGTGAGTAATTAGGTGGGAAGCTAAGCTGTTTATAAATTGTAGTAAATTCATGCCACCGGTGGATATTTATTTGGGAAAACAAGTATATAATAGTAGTTGCAATAAGATATTGACAAAGGATGTTGAAAATATATGGATAGGAAAGACGCTGAACTGGCTCGAAAGCCAGTC